GGGTACTTTTAACTCATAAATAAAATTTTAAAATCAGTTTTAGAATTTACATTTTAAATCTCAGATTATTATAATTTTATAATTAGTAACTTGTTTTCCTTTGAAAGCCAGAAAAATTGAAATAACAAATTAATTCTCTTAATATTTACATATATAATGTATGTTTTTAGAGCTCTATATTACAATGATTCAAATAAAAAATAAAATTATTTCATTAAGTAAAATCAGTCAAGTGGCTAATATGCCTAGGATCATCATTATTTTCCAAAAAAAATTACAAATAAGTCCTTGATGTGAGAACTAACAGTACAGCATATAACTGTACTAACAAGAAATCTTAAACTTCTCAACAAGATTTAAGAACCTGTTTTAATTGTATTGGTAGTCACTCTCACCAAGCAAGAGCAATCAGGAATTATATAAATAAAAGGAAGACAATAGAGGAAGAGTTTAAAGGGGATATAAATTACTGACCTCATACACATACAGAATAACCACTGCCAATCAAACAACATGCTTCTGTTTTATACCCTGAGAGATGCACAGGGTGAAGGGAGCTGCTTGTGGGCCTAGAGGAAGGCCGGGAAGACTGTTCAAGACAGAGAAAAGACAGAAATGGCAGAAGAGAGAGAGGACCATCAATGGCTCACAGACATGCATGCACAGTGCAAAGAGCATCCAAGGAAAGAGCCACAAAGAGACAGAAACATCTTTTCAGGAAATATCAGAACCCTCTTGCTACCATTCTTGAAGAAAGCTGCTAAAGATAATTAGAAGGGTTGTGTTTTTGCAACTACACTTTTTCTTTAGTTGATGTCCAAGATAGACTCTGTGAAATTGGGTGTAATGTGATTTGGATGTTGAACGAACATCATGATGCTTGGCTCCCAAAAGATGTAACACCTGAAGTCACTGAAGACGATGGGTGCCCAAGCAAGTGTGGTGAAGAAAGCTGATGGTGCTCAGCTACCAAAAGATAGCACCTAAAGCCTTAAAGACCTGAAGATAAACAAGCACCATCTAGCTAAGAGATAACAAAACCCACACGGAAGAAGCACATCAGTCTACCCCTATTAGATCACTGAGGACAAAGGGGTGCATTAGCAAAAGTGGTGAAGAAAGCAGATGGTGCCCGGCTATCAAATGATACAGCATCTGGGGTCTTACAGGCTTGAAGACAAACAGAT